TCTCAGGCCTCAGCACCCCAGGGGTAAAAGACATGGACCTCCCATGGACGCTGAGGGGCACTGTCAGCCGCCGGGCACCACCAGCCAAGTGAGCAAGGCTTAGGCTTGAGAGTCAGATAAGCCACGTTCAAATCCAGACCCGCCACTTCGGGGGCCTCCCTAAGTTTGTCACTTCTCACAGCCTCCGTGTATCCAGCGAATAACAGCCCCTGCCTCCAGGATTGGAATATCTGACAAGCTAGATTGCTTGCACAGTCCTCTGGAAAAACCATGGACGGCAAGATCTGTACCGAACAGCCTGCCCTGCGGGGGTGGAGGGGGCTCAGTGGGCAACAGCGCCTTCCTCCCTCAGCCTTGTTACAGAGCTGACCCAGCCCCCAGGTCTGCCAGCCACAGACAGCCGACACAACTGAGTGTGCGAGAGCAGAGAGCGAGGTTTGGACTCCAGTTCCCAGACACCCTTTCGGTCCAAGAGCCGGGAGCTGGTCAAGGCTGTGTGTACTTTCTTTCCTAGTAAAGCCTCGCTTCTTCTCCTTTCATTGCTCCTCCAATAGATGTGTTAGGACTTGATCCCACCTGTTTCAAATTTCCAAGGAAAGCCCTTGTCTGCAGCTCATCAGGGGCAACCGCTTTGGCACTCATTGAGCAGGAAATGTACTCAGCTTTAATTTTTTAGTCAGAATTCTGTAAGCTGTTTCTGCCATTGGCCATTGGCCCTCTTCAATTGTGATGACATAAAATAGCCTAACATGGCTCTCCTGTCCCCCCAAATGATTAGGCAAGAGCATGTAAATGAGAGGTACAGGTCTCTAACTCTCAGATCGGTCAGTCTTGCCATTCTACTGAGTTTAAGAGCGAACCATCTCAGAAACAGGAAGAGGAATCCCCCAGCGGTCAAGAAGTAAGAGCCCACAGAAGAGCACCGTGGAAGATCCCTGCCTTGAGGGGCAGAGGCTCAAAGTCAGTGACCTTGGCCAAGCCACCCAAACAGATGCAAATAACACCTGAAAATCAGCATGTGCACTAATCCATCAACTCCTTGCTCATCATTTCACAGCTAGGACAGAAGCAAACGGACGTACTCTCTGATCACTCTGCACACTGATGATGTGCACCCACCCGGGAGTGATGGGTGCGAAGATATGAGGAGAGAATAAAGCTGGCTGTGAGGGCTAAGGTTGTGTGTCCACTTGGCTGGACCATGATCCTCAGTTGTTTGACAGCGGTCCGATGATGTATTGGGCAGCTATGTAGGATTTAATCTGGCAGCTCTATAATGGTGTCACTTGGTAGTTATGTAACGATGTTGTCGCCCACTGTTTTCACATAACAACCTCCACTTTGGAACCTAACCACCTTGATAAGTGAGAAGGGGTGTGTGCTCTGGAACTTGGAAAGACTGCTCTGAAACCCAAGGAGGTCACAGAAACCCTTAGGGAAACCCCTCCAGTAAGTCAGCAAGAAGGGACTTCTTCACCCCGAGCGGTGGGAGTAATGCAAGATGGGGAGAATGCTCCAGAATGCCCTACTAAGATTTTGTCCAAAAGAAAAAGTTAGAGGGGTGGGGGGAAAAGACCCTTCGTTTGTTTTCTATTCAGTTTGAAAATTAGCATCTAGCTATCATAGGAATTATAACTGAATTCCTATTGTTACAAAGAAGACAAAATAAGTGTGCATCATGACTCTGAAGTTTTAATTTTCAGGGCCAGTCAAAATCTTTTTTTCTCCCTATTTCCCGCAGGGAAGCTTTACTCCCATTTTAAATAGCAGGCACCACGTTCTCATGTGGAAACGTCCGGAAGCATCTCTTCGTCCCAAGGAGGAAAGCCTTTCCCAGCCTCTCTTCAGCAGACTCCCCCTTCTGTGTCATGGAGATGGAACTGGGGCGTGACAAGGAACGGGGGTGTTCGTGATCTGGTCTGGACTCTGTGCCTGGTGCTTTCCTGGAGCTGAAGCCCGGGCCCACTCAGCACATCATCTGGAGGTCAGCATGAAATACAACATCTCTTCATAGAAAGAAGCAAGGACAAGCACTCTCAAAATCTACATTGTACCTTGGGGGAAAAAAATGAATGGTGTATATTCATTCTAAAAAAAAATGGTAACATGAATTTAAGCAAAGAAAATAACCTGCACCTCTAATTTGGTCACCCTGCGATCATGCCCGTTATACTTATGATCTTTTGGGTTCTTGGGGAGTTTCTTGGTCTGGGGGAGGAGACGGCCCACTGCCATCAAGTTGATTCCGAGTTATAACAACCCTCTGCAGGGTTTCCTAGGCTCTGTCCATCTTTACAGGAGCCTGCAGCCTCGCCTTTACCCGGTGGAGCAGCTCGTGGGGTTGAACCTCCATGCCAGTAGCAGTCCCCTGTTTCCTGACAGCGCCACAAGGGCTCCTTTGAGGAGGGTACCAAGAAACTCCCAAGAACCCTATTTCTGAGCTGCTGAATCAACCAAGCCTGACTCTGTCAACCTCTAGACTTCCTGTAACGTGAGGAAATGAACGCTTCGTTTTTAAGCTACTTTCATTTGCTTACAACCCAAAGCATCATCCAATGGCGCGAACATTGCACCTTTGAGATGCTCAGCCGCCCAAAGAACAGTGTGAGCCAGTCTTACAATGTTATACCCGTCTATCCAGGATGACCCAAAGAACGGTGTGAGCCAGTCTTACAATGTTATACCCGTCTACCCAGGGTGACCTAAGGCGCCGTGGTGATGGTGTGGGTTAGGTGCTGAATTATAATGTCAAGGTTGGTGGCTCAAACCCAACAGCGGCTTGGAGGGAGAGATGAGGCTGACCACTCCCTTAATACGATGAGTTGGAATCTACTCGGTGGTGGTGGATTCAATTTTTTGGTTCATTAAGGAAGGTCACAAAAGGTTTTCTATTTTTTGTTCAACAAAAATCTATCTGTAACTCTAGCAGCCGTAACTTTACTACCTCCTGGGAGGTCTGAAAGGAATGGTGGTGGCACCGCAGGTTAAGCACTGGGCGGCTAATCTCCAGAGGGGCAGTTCAGATTCACCTGCTGGCTGCCACAAGGGAGGACGAGGAGGGTGTGTGCTATCCAGGCTCAGAAATCCTTCTACTGTGTCCGTAGGGGTCCTTAGGAGCTGGAATGGACTGGAGTTTGGGGACATACAATTCTCTGAGACCACCGTCTCCACGACATTCAACCTGCTGGTCATTGATGATCACAGCAGCTTCTATGCCTGAAGCGGCCCAGGCTCCAGTCATGCCTGTGGGGTTCCACCAGCTCTGCCAGGGACCTCGGGTACTTCTCCCTTGGAGAGTGTCTGTCCGGCACACCTGGATCCCTGTTCTCAAGGACTTCCAGAACTCGCCACTTCTCCACCCCCACCTCGGGCCACTGCTGGAGGCGGCTGCTTCAGGGTTGCAAAGTCAAGCCCAGAAGCCGGGGGCGTTCACGCTCAACGAGCGCAGGTGAAGCCTCCCCTGATGGGGGAGCGGACACACGGACACACTGCACCCCAGCCAGCTGCCACGTGTTCTGATGCTTCCTAGAAAAGCTGGGGTGTCTATCAACCCACCAGGTTTTTCAAATATGGGAAGCCAATTCATTACGATCCTCACAACTCCACGCAAGCCAACACAAACTTGTCTGCGGGTTGGGTCTGACCACGTCCTTACTCCGTGACCCATCTCCGTGGGGGGTACATTCACATGTTGACTGCTAAGTAGGATGTTAGATGCCGGGTCCGGGCAGCTGCCTTTCATCGCATTGATCCTAGCGTTATGAGAGTGTGTGAACGTGAGAGCTAGAGCATGGCATTCTGGGAAATGTTTCTCCAGCATCCACTGATGTGATTGTGTGTTTTCCTTCTTGACAGAGTTAACCCTGGCTGGGTTTCAAACACTGGGCCAGCCTGGCCTTCCTGGGACAAGCCCCCTTTGCGGGGGTGTGAGCAAGTCGCTTTTGGAGACCCTGTTTCAAGCCTCTGTTGTCAATTGGAGGCAGCATGCTGAGGCGTACGTACCTCACAGGACGGCTGCCAGGATTCAGAGAGAGAGAGAGGGAGAGAGAGAGAGAGAGAGAGAGAGAGAGAGTGTGTTTTGAAGGGACTGTGTGTGCAGGCTCAAAGTAGTATCCAAATAAAGCTGAGAAATCATCTAAAACAATAACCTCTATTGTTTTAAGTTTTGGGCCACATTACAGGCCCTACCAGAAGAGCTACATATATCCTCATTCTGCATCCCCTCAATCTGTGAGGTGATTAGATGTGCTGCCTACAGTAATAATTTCATTTTAATAGCTAGGCATTCTTTTCAATGTGCATTCGAAAAGAAGTTATGACCATCACGCCAAACTCCTGGTTTCACGTACAGTGATTATAATAATAACGTCCATGACTAAGTTTTACCAAGTGCCAGTAATTCATAAACTAGTACTTTCTAAGTACTTTATAAACTATAGCTCGTGTAATCCTCATTCAACTCTGTGAGGTAGGCATTATTATTATACTCTTCTTTTTACTAGTGAGGAAGCAGAGAGCCCCCCAAAAAACCCAAACCGGCTGTCATCAAGTCAATTCTAGCTCATAGGGACCGTACAGGACAGAGTAGAACTTCTCCCCAGGGCTTTTGAAACCGTAAATCTTTATGGGAGCAAATAGTCTCATCTTTGGCCCACAGAGTGTATGGGGAGGAAAAGACACCTGTCCCCAGGTGGGATGCTGCTCCAGACTGGTGACACCCACCTACTTCTCTTCTGGGGGCCGGGTGGGAGGTGGGCGTGCACACTGTGCCCCTGTCCGGACAAGCGAGCCAGTATCTGCCCTGACCCTGTGCTCTCCCTCGCCAGCCAGTGCAGACGCAGGCAGACAATCCGCCTGCTCTTTCCCTTTTTTCAATCCGAGGTGCCTGCTGCTCTGTGGTGCCCAACGCACCCTGCCCTCCTGGTGGGAGCTGTAGGAGGCAGGCCAGGTGGAGAGGGAGGCTCCTGGCGGGGGCGCCTCCTCCCCTGGGCCCGGCTCACCTTGCAGCATGCTCCGGTAGGCCGTGTCCGCGATGGCGTAGATGTGCGGGGGCATCTCGTGCCTCTTCTTGCCCTTGTACATGTCGACGATCTTTTCTGAGTAGATGGGCAGGTGCTTGTAGGGGTTGATGACCACGCAGAAGAGGCCGGAATACGTCTGCCAGACAGAAAACCTAGCTTACTGCCAGTGCGCAGCCCCGAGGGCCCTTCTCATTTCATACCCACAACAGCTTGTCAACCAGATAGGGCCCATGTACAGAAGGGGAAACTGAGGCTCAGAGAACCCCTTGATCAGCCCAACCTTCTGGGAGCAAAGGGCAAGGCTGGGGTTCTAGGCCCTTGAGAGGACATTTCATAGCATCAATTTAAAGTGTGTCTTTCAATCGTCCCAATCCCACCGGCTCTAAGACTGAGCGAGTCACTTCACCTCCTTGAGCCACGGGGGCTTAAGCCACACGCTCATTGACGAGTGGTTATGCATCGGGCTGCTCACCACAGGGTCAGCCGTTCAAACCCACTAGCTTTCTGCCAGAAAGACTGGGCTTTCTATTCGCATACAAGGTTAGACTCAGAAACTCACAGAGACAGTTCTACCCTGTGCTACCAGTTACAGCAAAAGACCTGGTTTTCAGGACCCCAAACCGAACTCGCTGCCTTGGGGTCAGTGCGGACTAAAGCAAGCCCCCTGTGGGTTTCTGAGCCTGTAAATCTTCAGACAGCTTCGTCTTCCTCCCACGGAGCTGCTGTGCTTTTAAAGTGCTGGGCTTGGAGTTAGCAACCTACCTCTTAGCATACTACGCCCCAGGACGCCTTCTGGTACACAGTAGGTGCTAACAAATTGCTGGCTACATGGATGTTGGGGTGTGTGTGTGTGTGTGTGTGTGTGTGTGTGTGTGTGTGATGGCATGTTAGCAGTCCCTTCATCTCTGAGCCCCAAGCACCTTGTATGGACATCACACAGGAGGGCCAGATCTAGACTGCATGCATTGATGTCCTGGACCCCAGCGCAGGCCCTCCCACAGACCACTAAAGTGAGACAAACCACGTCTTAACTTGTCTGCCTGGAGGGACTCACCTCCCGCTCCTCCAGGGTCATGCTCACTGCCCCCGACAGTCCCTAGTTCAGAATGCGGGCACTATGTACAGCCCAAACCATCACTGCCACCACCCTCAAGCCCTTGCCCTGAAGGCAGGCAAGGGTAGTGCTTAAGAATTGGGTACCAAGAACCTGAGTTCAAAAAGCCCTCACCCCGCTACTTCATTAGCTCTGTGTCCTGAGAAAGCCCATTTGCCTCTCTGAGCCTCAGTTATCCTCATCTGTAAAACAGGGAGAGAGGGGCACGTCAGTGACACAGCTTTTGTAATAAGGACTCAACACTGTGCCTGGGACACAGTAGGTGCTCAATTAACATTCGTGTGGATTGCCCTGGTGAGTTTATTTCATGGTAATGAAAACCTTGCCACCTTAGCACATGCTATTCCTTCTACCGGGAACCGTCTTCTCCTAACCTTCCCAGGTTTCCACCTCCTCCTTCAGCACTCGGCCTAAATGCCACCCCTTAGACTGACCAGCCCTGCCCCGACCATCCCATCCTCAGCCCCCAGCACAGTTCCAGGTGCACGGAAACACAATGTGGAAACAGTCTCTCACTGAATGAATAGAAGAGAAGAAAGAAATGCACCCCGCTGGCCCTGAGTCCCATCATCAACATCTGAGCAAGAAACCAGGGTTGCAGGCACCTCTCCTGGTGCTATGCACCCGGTAAGTACCCAGCAAGTCAGGTTTTTGAGGTGATCTGCATTTCGGCTCAAGCAGCCTCTGGGGAGCAAGCTGGGGTACAGCGTCTGAGAGGAAGTCTGAGCAGGCAGCACGGACTGTGCTGTGAGGGGCTCTGGCAGCTTGATGGACCTCACGCCCACCCTTGGTAACTGGTGGCCTTTCTGCTTCCCCAGCCCCCAGGAGCCCTTCCCCGGCTGTTTCCACATTCCTGGCCCACGGCACCGCAGCCAGCATCTCAATGGGTCTGAACCACCAGCAGCCCCCAGCGCAGGCCTAGGTTCTCCGTGTTGTGACCGTATTAGGAAGCAGCTTGAGTTTTCTCCCCACGCTTTATATGGTCAGCAGTAGAGCCCTAGGCTGGGGGCTGGTCCCATGGCCTCTGCTGAAACCTTGAACAGGGAGAAGGAGGAAAAGGAGCAGGAGGAGGAGGAAGAGGAGGAGGAGGGCACAGGCTGGGGGCAAGGGGAGGCACAAGATTCATTTGTGCCCCTCACTATCTGTCCCACTTAGGCAAGCTGTCAACTGCCAGCCTCTGCTTCCTCATCTACAGGCAAAGGGTTACATGCAACACCACAGCTTCCTCGTTGTGACCAACCCTGGGCTCACAAAGGCAGATTTGCCGTAGCAGTGTTTTTCACGGGAAAAGGCTGGAAACCAACGGGGTGTCCACCGATAATGGACTCAATCATTGTAGACCGCCCCCTGCATGTACAAGCTACACCTGGGTGGCACACACAGTGAAGTGCGTGGCTGCTCATCAAAGGTTGGCAGTTCAGATCCACCCTTCAGGGCCTTGGAAGAGAGGCCTGGGGATCTACTTCCAAAAGACCAGCCATGGAAATCCCTCAGGAGCACCACTTACTTGGACACCCCGCAGGGCCTCCAAGGGTCCATATAGGCTGGACAACAACTCTTTGTTTGGCTTTCTGAGGGTTTTTTTTATTTTTAACATTTTATTAGGGGCTCATACAACTGTTATCCCAATCCATACACACATCAATTGTGTAAAGCGCATTTGTACATCGTTTCT